GAAAAGAGGAAGGAAGAAGAAAAGGAAAAGAGACTGAAAGAACTGAGGAGGAGTTTTGAAGAAGAGAAGGTTCAGAAGATCAACAAGAATCATCATCACCTTCCTTCATTAAGCATCATCATCAACCAATCTCAACCGCTAATGAGGTGAGCATTTAATTTTGTAAATAACGGGATTCCTGGGTTTTATTTTTCAGGTTTCAGCAAGACAAAGAGGGAGGGATAACAGGTAAAGAAGAAGGAAGGGAAATGTTTCTAAAATCGCCAATGGTCGTGGGAGTCGTCGCCGTTTAGAAAGAAGAAGAGGGATTTGGAACAAAACCTAGAAGCTGTCTTCATGAATACCGCCCTCCCCTTTTTATTATTTGGAACAACTAATAATTACTTTATTTTTTAAATAACTAATAATTAAAAATATTTTTTTAATAAATTTATAGTTAGTAATTTTTTTTTAAACTTATTGTTAGTAATTCTGTTTTAAACTTATAGTTAGTAATTCTTTTTTTTTAACTTATAGTTAGTAATTCTTTTTTTTATATAATTAATAGTTAGTAACATTTTTTTATAGTTAATTGTAATAAAAAAAACATTTAGATTTCTAATTTAAATTAAAGTTTTTAATAAATTGTAATTAATTGTTTTTAGATAAAAATTCAAAAAAATAAAAATCTCCTAACCATTCCTGTTAACGGTTCATCTAGCTTTCATCGTCTCTCGTTTGGCTTTGACTAGTAATCTTTTTAGTTTCCGTAGTTTTTTTCATGGATGTAATTTATGCGATGCCATGATCGCGGTTACTTTTATTTTTTGCATTTTGGGGATTTGTAATTTACGCGAGTGATCATCACGATGCTTTCTTTACCGCTTTCATTATTTTCCGTACTTTATTTCTGCCGTATAATAATTTGCTATATCTTGCATGATTTGCCGTTAGAATCCCTTCCGAAGGATTAGGTCTAGCTATTTGACCGTCGAGTCAATAACCCTAACCTTTGACCATATCAAAACCCTAATAGCCTAGGTGTCCCGCCGTGGACGAAAACGCCATTTACCCTAGCATTAGGCCAAAGAGTCGTCGTACTCTGCTTTAGGGTTTCCCGCCGTGAAACACCTAATTTAACCTTAATTTCAATTAACAAGTTCAACGTAGAAATAGGAGTCTCAAGACTCCACGTAAGCGTTTCCATAAGAAATGCTTACTCCCCATTGAAACCTTGACCACAGTCAAGAAGTTTCTAACCTCCCTTTCGAGGGGAACTACAATTACTCCGATTCCATTCCCGTCAGGATATGTAGGCACAAGATGCGACGTCTTGCCGAGTAAACTTAGGACTAACCCTTAGGTTTTTAAGTCACTCTATCCCTTAGCTTAGTATATATTGCAAGTAGATAATAAAATATAATAGTAAGCAGTAAACAAAAGGTTCCTGTAGAGTACTACAGAAGATTAGGGTGCTAATGCCTTCCCTAAGCTTAACCAACCCCTTACCTAGATCTCTTTGCATTATTTTATGATGCAAAATTAGGTTTTACCTCTTTTGACCTTTTTCTTCGGATAAATCAAAGAGCGGTAGTGAACTAAAGATGCGATTCAAATTAATTAATAATTTGATATCATATTCTAACTGCAACACCTTAGTTGTGGTAGAAGATGCATGAGCTCAACAACCCTGATCGCTCTCTTCATGGACAACCTTTCAATAAGGCCTTCATCTCGACTAACATCCTCTCCAAGAAACTTCATCCTCAACATCGACCTCCCAACGTTATAAGGAAATAACTGCTCATGCATTTACTATCATCACACGAAGGCCAAAAGATCTCAGGTTTAAGAATATTCAATTCAAGACCTAATCCTGGACTAGTCTCCCGAATGATGTCAAGGACTTAAGCCACCTCCTTTATTCTCCTATGATGGTCCCATCATCAAGGTACCAGGCATGAAGAATAAGTTTATAATAGAGACTAATCTAATGAATTAATAGGTGTAACACAAAGGAAAAAAGGAGCGGTTCTAACAGGGCATCTTGATGCACTCCAGTGGCTGACATAATATGCTCATCCCCAAGGTCTAACCTTGTTTCCTGGCCATAGCGAAACATAACCAACAAGAAAATAGATAGCCATCTCACTCTCACCTCTCGCAGAATGACTAGTCGATCTACCAAGTTAAAAGAATTCGTGAAATCTATCGTGAGCATAGTCAAATAGCCATCTCCATGTCGCCGGCTCAACACCCTATTGGCACTATGCAAAATTTCCTCAGCACCACCCGATACCCTAACCCAAAACTGAAAGTCATTGAGATGTCGTGTCACATCATAACTGAACATTTTCATTGCAACCTTGGATACCGACCGTCTCCAAATAAAACCTACGATAATTGGTCATATCCCACCATCAGGCTTCAATAACGGCGTCAAAGGTGTTTAAGCAACAAACTCTCCCAAACTCATCAAGTATCTGCCTCACGACCATATGGTAACAACTAGAGTGATTATAAGAGATCTCTAGACACAACAAAATCTTCTCCACACATTGCGTCTAATAAATGTTGAGCACGTAAGTTATCTCTACCACATGAAGTCCATTTGGAGAATGACTTAATGCACTTGAAGATAATATCAACTTTAACCACTAGAGGAACTTCAGAGAACAAAGTGATCGGTATGGAAGGAGGTGGTTTGTACGGGTATTTAGCCTTCAAAGTCTTCATAATATGTGCATTATTGGGTGTTACTCCTAATGACCCCAACACTTTCACAGTTGTTGTGAAGTGGCCATCTACAACCTTAATTGCAAAGGCATCGCTTAATATTGGAGTTCACATTTGCATCTTTCTCTTCAATATGAGTTCCCTCATGACCCAATTTATCTTGCTTAGAGCTGCCCAACACACTATCAAGACCATATGCATTCTTCCAAGTAGATAAGCACTCCAATATTTATAATGATAAAGAGTTGTAAGAAATTAACTAAATAATAATTCATTACAACTTTATAAAAAAATCAAAATTAATTTATAAATCAAACAAAAACTCTTAATTCAAATAAGGGTTATATTTTGTGTAAATAATTGAAAACAAAACAATAGTTATAACAAGAAATATTAAATATTTATAATGATAAACAATTATAAGAATCATTAAACAAATATTTAATGCAACTTTATATAAAATAAAAATTAATTTACGATTTTATATGAAATCAAAATTATTTCCTTTCTTGATTTATTTAATCTAGAAATATAAAATACTACTATTACAAAATATAATTTTGCATATAATAATAAATTATTCCTATTAAATAATTTACTAGAATTACTTTATAAAAATAGATTTAAACTATGTCCATATCAATTACAAAGCTTGCTTCTAGAAGATAATTTATTTTTAGTAAAATCCAGTAAACCTTAGTTTTTATTATTTTCTAAATATTTTCAATTTTGAACTTTTTTACTAAAATAGTTGGTAGAACTAGAGTTAAAATAATCTAAAATTTTCTTAAATATTATACCTTTGTTCGTTTATACAAAAATTATGTTTTTATTTTTTTATTTAATAATTAATGTATCTAATTTATATACCGATCAAATATTTTGGTTATTCAATAAACTTAAAAATTAAATCATCTCTTATATAAAGAAACAAAAATAGTACAATTTAATATTTATATTTAATAAATTTTATGAGTAAATGAAAGTGTAAATATCTTTTAAAGTTAATAAGTATTTTGTCAAAAGTTTAAATTCGTCTTTCTTTGTTTTGCAACCTCAATTTTAATCATCAAAATAATGACAAGGCAAAGGTTTTTCATCGGAAAATAGATATAAATTAAAAACATATTATAAAATTTAATAAATAATTGATGAAATTTTTTTTGAAAGGACAAAACATATATTATTAATTCAACTTTTTATCTATACCTTTACACCTCGAAAATTATATCAATAGTTGCTTATATATAATTTTTTATTGATAAAATATTTCGTTAAATAATTATATCAACAATGCTATCTTTTCACTAATATTTACATTGTATATATTATTTATGGTATTTTTACAATGAATATTGTTTTTTAAAATATATTTATGAACAATGAGATGAATACTATCATAAATAGTAATTGTGAAGAGTAATTTTTAATACTCAAACAAAATTGGTTGATACAATGTAAAAAGTTGATTAATAAAATAATAAATTTAGTTAATAAATGTTCAAATGTTAAAAAAAAAATTTAATAAAAATAAAGTTGATTAAAATTTTTTTAATAATAAAATAAAGTTGATTAATAAAATATAAAATATTAATTAATAAAATTATTAATTTGATTAATCACACAATTTATTTTATATAAGTATCATTAATCTAAAAATAAAATTAAACAAAATAATATATATATATATATATTTTATATATATATATATATATATATATATATATATATATATATATATATATATATATATATATATATATATATATATATATATATATATATATATATATATATATATATATATATATATATTATTGTTTATTATATCCACCGGTAATCAAGTAAATAAAAAAGTACACGATTCCCGAAATATATTCATGCCCCAATCTAGGGATTAGATAAATGACTAATATAATGGTAGGTATTATCAATTAAAAAATAAAAATAATTACGAAAACCCAATAAAACAAGAGTTTATACAGCAAAAACAAACGCCAACCAGAGTAAGAAGAAATGATTGCATTAGAAATTATAGGGTCGCCAAACCCAATAATTGATGTAATGTCTCACAAACTAACCACTTAGAGGCCCCACCCATCCCTTCCCATAGGACACTCCTCATGCTTCATGTGAAGAGTCCTTTGTTTGTTCATTCAATTTCGATCTATCCAGACTGTAGGACTCAGTCCTTGTTATCGTTATTTCCCTATAAATACACCAATGTGTCATAAACATTTCAACAAATTCACATTTTAATTTTCCCCGTCTTTTCTTCCTCCGCCATGAGGAACGACTCTCCTTACACTCCTCTTCTTAATGGCCCTCGCGATAACCACCGTAGAGAGCTTCTTCTTGTGTTTTCCGGTTTGCTTTTACTTGCTTCGATAATCGCTTTTAGCGGCTTCCGCCGTGAACCTCATGCTGACGTGTCATCGTCATCGTCATCATCGTCCTTCACATCATCCGATGAAGCAACGAAACCGAGCGCGGTTTCACGAGGTGTTTCCTCCGGTGTGTCGGAGAAGTCAAACACGTTTCTCTCTGGTAGTTTCTCTCTGGTAAGGTTGGAGAAGTTGAGTCGTTTCCTTGGGATAATACTATGTTGTCGTGGCAGAGAACAGCTTTTCATTTTCAGCCGGAGAAGAATTGGATGAATGGTAGTACTTTCATCCATTGATCTATCTATCTATCATTTTCGTTATTTTTGTTTATTTAATTGATAAGAATTATATTAAATGAAAAGTGCTTTTTAGAGAAGTGATTATGATAACTGAAACATGAGAGATTTTTTTTTTCATTTTAAATTAAGTGAAAAGAAAAGGTAGTTTGTTTTTGGTTAAATTATTTGTGCCTTTCCAAGTATCATGGATTGGAATTTAGTTGTTCTGTGCTGGAAAAGGATTTTATTATAATGAACAAAAAATTGAATAGTGAAAAGAGATGAAGATGACAGTTTTAATTGTTATTATTTAGAGAAAAAAAATGATTATCGATAGTTTTTAAATTTGTGACTAGTTCTTAATTTTCATAAGTGGTGGTGAACAAAATTAACACGATTTCTTTTTTGTTTTTTGTTTTTTTGTTTTTTTGGATGATGTTGGCTTGGACTGATGGTGGAATCTGGTTTGATGACTCGCTTTGTTTCAGATCCTAACGGTAAGAAGCACATTTGCTTTTCTTTCTTCTTTAATTTAGCTTAATCGGTTTAATTAGTTGGTAATTTTTAGTTTAATAATTTGGTTATTTGTGGATTAAATCTTTTATTTTAATGGATTGGTGAATATTCAGTGTTTAATAGTTGTGTTCAAATGGTAGGACCCAGATACAGCTGAACCGGGTCTAAAATGGAGCTGGCTGTGTTTGATTTTGACACCATTAATTGTATTTTTTTAATTAATTCAGGAGTAATAGAATAACATCATAAGTTATGCGAGTCCCACAAAATTAATTAACATAAGCATATATTCAACGATTTTGGATTACGGATAATTGTTCTTTATTTCACGTGTTTTTCATTTTGACACCTATTTAATATTTTTTTAAATTTTGGTTTTCTTTTAATAGCATTTGTACATCTTTTTTAATATTTTTTTATTACTTGCCACAATACTTGTCCAACCAGAATAGTCCAGTTTCATTTTGGTCATAGTGTAGACTCCATCACATTTTGGAATACGTAAACAAAATTTTAGAGTTTAGATAAAAGAACAAAAATTGAGAAAATTAACATGAATCTGGGTTTGTTTGTTTATGATTCTTGAAAATATCATTTTTTATGTTTTAATTAAATTTTGTGTTTAAAAAAATAGAAAATTCTCTTTAATGTTTTTTTTTTTTAAAATTCGATATCTAATTCTAGAATCGACTCATTTGGAAATTAATCTCAGCGTTTATTGCGGGAGATTTAATTAAAGTTTGTTTTGGCTTAGTATAGACTGTTCAACATATAACTTGTTAGTACCAGATTTGAATGTGTGACTCTCAATAATTGATATTAAAATAACTAAAACATGGTATATGTTTTTTAAGAATTTTAAACAAATCAAGTGATCTTGTTTAAGGGGATAATCTAGCAACCAAAAGTTTCTTGACATGTATGGAAAAACTTATACATTTCAGGTCCATTGTATTACAAGGGATGGTATCATTTTTTCTACCAATACAATCCAAATGGTGCAGTTTGGGGAGACATAGTTTGGGGGCACGCAGTGTCAAGGGACATGATTCATTGGCTTCATCTTCCACTAGCAATGGTGGCGGACCAATGGTACGATAACAACGGTGTTTGGACAGGCTCTGCTACCATCTTACCCGACGGTCAAGTCATCATGTTATATACCGGTTCGACCAATGAGTCTGTGCAAGTTCAAAACCTTGCATACCCTGCTGATCTCAATGACCCTCTCCTTGTGGACTGGATCAAGTACCCTTCCAACCCGGTTCTTGTCCCTCCACAAGGCATCCATCCGAAGGACTTTCGCGACCCAACGACAGCTTGGCTTACTACCGAAGGAAAGTGGCGAATAACCATAGGCAGCAAGATAAACAAAACTGGTGTTGCTTTGGTTTATGATACAGTGGATTTCAAGACCTATCAGCGGAAAGACGTGCTGCTTAACGCTGTTCCTGGTACTGGTATGTGGGAGTGTGTGGACTTTTTCCCTGTTTCTAAGAAATTTGAAAATGGTTTGGATACTTCCTTTATCGGTGACGAGGTTAAGCATGTGATGAAGGTGAGTTTGGATGACGATAGACATGATTATTACGCATTGGGGACTTATGATGAGAAGAAGGTTAAGTTTATAGCAGATGATTTTAAAAACGATGTTGGTATTGGATTGAGGTATGATTATGGTATATTCTACGCTTCCAAGACATTTTACGATCAGAAAAAGAATAGGAGAGTGTTGTGGGGTTGGATTGGAGAATCCGATAGCGAATACGCTGATGTTGCCAAAGGCTGGGCTTCAGTTCAGGTACATCAAATCTATTTACCAAGTTTAACATGAAATTCACACATTACATCTACTAGTTATTAATATAGAGAGCTTTTTTGATATTGTATAGAGCATTCCGAGAATCGTGAAGCTTGATAAAAAGACTGGTAGCAACTTGCTTCAATGGCCTGTTGCGGAGGTGGAGAGTTTGAGATTAAAAAGTGATGAGTTTAAAAACTTGAAGGTTAAGCCAGGGGCAGTGGTGTCACTAGATATTGGAACTGCCACACAGGTTTGTTTTCATATTGTCAATACTTTTTTTTGCCTTCATGATGTGTTTTCTCTATCAGTCGCGATGTAATCAGAGTCTGGTTAAAAATTGTTTCAGCCAAATTTTGTCAATCTGGCTAGGCATGACTAAATGAAACTTTCAATTACATGACATTTGACATATTATCTGTGATTGCAACAGTTGGACATTGTAGCCGAGTTTGAGATAGACAAGGAAGCTCTAGAGAAAACAGCTCAATCCAATGTGGAGTATGAGTGCAGCACCAGTGGGGGAGCTTCCCGTCGCGGTGCCTTAGGACCTTTTGGTCTTTATGTTTTGGCAGATAATAGTCTTTCTGAGTACACTCCTGTGTACTTTTATGTTGTTAAGGGAAGCAATGGAAAATTCAAGACTTCTTTTTGCTCTGATCAATCAAGGTAATAAACTTGAAATCATGATGTTTAAGAAATTAGTTAAAGAAAGAAAATGATTAGCTTTCTATTGTTATAAATTCAATATTGATTTATTTAAACCAATTTTATAGGTCTTCTCTAGCAAATGATGTTCATAAACAAATCTATGGGAGTATAGTACCAGTACTTGAAGGAGAAAAATTATCCTTAAGGATACTAGTAAGTTGAGCTTTATTCAAATGAGTCATATAGCTTATGCATATGATCTACATTAATTGACTTAACTCTTGATGAAATGTTTGTTTTAGGTGGATCATTCTATAGTTGAAAGCTTTGCTCAAGGTGGAAGAACATGTATAACATCAAGAGTTTATCCAACAAGGGCAATTTATGGAGCTGCTAGATTGTTCTTATTCAATAATGCTATTGAAACCAATGTCACTGCCTCTCTCAAAGTTTGGCAGATGAATTCTGCATTTATACGCCCATACCACCCTGATCAAAAGAGATGAAGAAATTAAATTGGATGTTAGAGACACGCAATCACAAGGACAAATTGTGGGGAAACTATTTGGTAGGAAAGTTATGCATAACAACTCTAATGATCCAATCAAATCATCAACCCTTTCAATGTTTTGGGCTTTTTGTACAATTTTCCTTAGCTAATTTTTGTTCAATTATACTTTAGAATGTTTCTTTGTAATTTGATTACCCCACATGTGATTATATTCTTAGGAGGTTGATATGTTCATTGAAGAAATATGATTGTTAATGCTCTCTTTGTCTTTGAATAAAAATCGGTTATATTACAGTTACAAAAATCGGTTATATTTTTAAGAGGTTGGTGCCCATTTTTTCTTACCATAGCGAGAGTGAAAAGAATAAAAATTAACTTTTGTTCGGTATTGCATTCTTGGTGCGGGATTGCATTGTTGGTGTACCAAAAGCAAAGGTGTTGGGTCCTATGACGACTCACCATGGCAGCCCGAGTTCCTAACCTTGGAAGCAATGTTTTAAAATATAGTCTGGTAGGACCGGTCAAACAGTGAATCAGAATGTATGACATGTTGTAAAATTAAAGAATCAAATACACAATTGATTAGGTGGAAACTGATGTGATCTGACCGGTTTAGTGGTCAAATCAATGAATTGATGAATTTATTAAAATTATATGTCTATGATACATTAAAGGGGACCTATGGGTGGTTTGATTGCCTATTATTAAGTTTTATTTTGATTTAGTTTTATATCATTGAATCTCCTCTTCAATTGCGCATATTAAAGGAAAGTTTTATATTTGTACATTTTAGCATGCATAATTCAAATTATTTGTGTTTGAGTATGAGTAGTCTCAAAACATCTTTGAAAACTTCAATAATTGAGATTTTAGGTGTGTCATTCGAATCAAACATCATATGAGTCAAATCAAATCAAACTGAGGGAAAACATGAGTTTTTATAAGTTTGTGAGTCGAATCAAAAATTAAACATTATTCGAATCATAAAGTCATGTGACTTGAATTGCAGCTTCTACATGAGTCGAATCACTAACTTCCTGCCAGCCACTGTTTTCTTTGAGTCGAATGATGGCTTCTTTATGACTTGAATCATAACTTACTTGATTTGAATCACAAGTGTCGCACCTCGAAAATTCATTCGAACATACGACCCTCGCGCGAAAGGCGCGGAAATGCGGTTCGATAGAGTCGCCACCGAACTTTATTATCCCGAATGAACGGGAGAGGAAAATATCGAAAAAACCTCATAAACGCGGAAGGAACATGGCCGTTGCAACCAAATGTTCCTGGGTTCGGGAGTCGGTTACGTGAGGGGAAGGTATTAGCACCCCTCACGTCCGTTGTACTCAACGGGAACCTCTTAATTCGAGTTGTGGTGGATGTTAGCTAAACTTAATTCTTCTCTTCTCAATACTAAATACTAAAACGGTACTATAAGGGGGTAAAGACGCTAGGGGAAAGGGGGATGGTTAGAGGATAGGGTGCTCGCCAAGGATTGGGGCCCTTGTGCCTACGTATGCTCATTCGAACGAGAATGAGAAATTAGAGCGTCGTAGTTCGACTATGGGAAAGGATGGGGGAAAATGGAAGATGGAGGGGATTGTGGATGGAATAACGGAGGAAGGTAGAAGTGTGCTTGCCAAGATCATTGCAATCTTGTGCCTACGTATATTAGATTCAAGAATGAATAAAGAATCAGAGCGTCCGTAGTTCGTGGTAACGACCACGAAAAGAACGGGATTGAATTGGATTGAAGTGGGTACGGATGACGATTACTCGAAGCTTAAGAAAGACTTCTCGGACCCAAGTAATCGGGAGAGCGAACCAAAGACTTGGAACACTCTCTTTTTCATCATGAAAGGAAAGTTGTGTTTGAATGGGTGAGATTGGTCGGATGACGATTATTTGAAGCTTAAGAAAGACTTCTCGGACTCCAAGTAATAAAGAAAGCGAACCAAAGACTTGGAACACTCTCTTTTTCATCGCAAAAGAAGTTGTTGAAATGTGAGTGAAAGGATGAGTAGTTGGAGATGGTTGAACGTTGTTGAGTTGGTAATGTTATTTAAAGGCGTCAATTGCTCACACACGAATAAGATAACTCGCATCCAAACAACCGAAAGCAAGATCAAAGAGTTGAACCTACTCTTTACACCTTAAAAAGAATTGAATAGTTGTTAATTAATTGATAGTTTGTTTAGAAAATCTGCTTGACGTTGGATCAAGGGTCTGACTTATTATCGCATGCAAAGCGTGTAATGGACATGGTTTGAGAAACGTGATCGACTTGACTTACGCATCAAGGGTCGAGTTGTGTGCAATAGGTCGATGGCGAATGCGTATGAGCACTCGACTTACGAGGATTTGAAAATGACTCGATGACAAATCGAGAATTAGTTTGAAAATAGTTTGATCCGCTCTAGTCCCTATGGGTGCTCCTAGAAGATAAACTAATAATCAAAGAAATGCGAAACATACATCGGAATGTGAGAGGGGTACATGTAAGTTACACGGGATTGTACGAAATAAAGGGGTCTCATTGTCAGGTAGCCCGAGAGAAAGCCGTGTGTGTGCATTGTGTCCTAAACTACTCCTTGAGCAAAGTCGGGCACGACTCAAAATTGGGGTTCCTGCAAATAACCAATGATACAACAGTCCACCAATTTGGCTTTTAGGATTTCTATAGTTTATTAGGTATTTTCGATTATATGTGAGTAAGAATGAATAAAAATGAGTAAAAATCGATAAAAAACGAAAGTGAAAAGTTGGAAAAGAGTTGGTCTCGGATCCAACGTTATTATCAATAATTTGACCAACAACGGTTTACGAAAGTCTCATCATCGACCGAAAAACTATAAAAATGAATAAAAATCGGAAAAGGTAATAAAATATAACCACAATATTTACCAAAGAATTTTCACAAAACTAATTATGATTAAAGAAAAGAAGTATATATAAAAATCAAGATTCTTGATAGAAATATAAAAATTTTAAAGAAAATGAACCGGGTGGATGTGAAAATAAAAACGGACAGGCACATAAAGTAAAAGGGGTCATTTAGGCTTTTGAAGCCCATCGCCCAATCATGAGAACAAGGGTGGAGGTGCAACTTGTGTGAGGGCATGGGGAAAATGAAGATCGGACGGGCCTCTAGCCCAGCTACCACGCGGTCAACAAATTTTAAGAAAAAAAACCGTTATGTTTTTCATTTCCAAAACCAGAGTAACCTTTTTCAGATCAAAACACGGTCCAAAACACAAAATCTCTACAAACCCATCACCTAAGAACAGGGTACAACCACCAAAAGCACGCCAATGAACAAATCAAAAAGAGGGTAAACAAAAATAACGTCATCTCAACCTTCTACAAATCTCGAGCTTTCTCTGATTCTCTCTCGATCTGCTTCAAGCTTCGAACCCCAATCAAGTTTCAATCAGGTTTTTATTTGGATTTACTCTCCCTTCATCTCTCTGTTTGATTTGAAATAGGTTGTGGTTCATTAGATTCAAACGGGTTTGGGTACGTTGAAATTGAAGATTGAGGTTTGGTTTTGGTTGTCGTGCGGTTGTGGGTTGATGAAGTTTTGGAGTTGAAAGGGATTTTCTGGTTTATTGATGAAAGTTAGGGGAAAATGAATTTCAAGCTGCGAGATAGAGGAAGGAGATGGTTTAATGTTGAAGGTTTGGAAAAGAGTCTGTTATAGGTTGAAGTTTGGGAAAGAAGAAGAATGGGGGCGCTGTATTCTTGGGGTTTCGGAGGAAGATGGCGAGCGGGTTCAAAATGGGTTGAAGATTGAGTTGAAGAGGGTTAGAGATTTTTCCGGATTTTATGTTTATCGATTGAAGCTGAGGGGTAAGATTAAAGGAGAAGAGAGGGTTTTATCTTGGAGGTGAAGTTCTGCTGTAGGTGAAGAATGAGTTGGAATTTGAAGTTTTGGGGTGAGGAGTTTTTTTTTATGTTGGTTGAACATTGAAGGAGGATGTGGGTTATGAGGATTATGAAGGTTGAATGGTTTCACAGTTTATAGGTTGAAGAATAGAGGAAGGTTGATTGAAATATGGAGAATGGATTAGGTTATTGTTGTTTTATTATCCATGAGTTAAATGGTTGGGAATGGAGGTTGAAGAAGTGGGAGGAAGGTTGAAAGTTTAAAGGTGTGAAGAGGATTATTCGTGGGTTCCCCTGTTGAAGATTTTTTTGAGAGGTTTTATTGATTGGAGAAAATGGATTTTTGTGTGGTGTTATGAATTGGTCTGAAGCAAGCTTTTTCAATGTTGGTTGTCTGTCGTGGCTTTTGTGGTTTTGCAGTACTGGTTTTGTCGGTACAGTTCTGTGGGGCTGGTTTAGCAGGTTGTTGTCTGGTGTGGCTTGTGGGCATATTGTATTTTGGCCTTATCTGCAGAATTTGTCTGTGTAAAATTGATTTGTGCTGCAGTTTTTCTTTGTGCCAATTCATACGCTTTGCTGCTGCTAGCCTGCTACGAATTGCATGACCTGCGGTCTGCGTTTTGTGGTGGTACGTACAGTTTATGCACATATCCTCATTTTCATGTTATGGCCAACGGTTAGTACAACTTTGGGTAGTGATTTCTCCTTCTAAACTTTGTATGATTTTCTTGGCAGGTCGTTTGGCATGCGGGATTTCCGTCCATATCACATTGGTCGTACCTTGTGCGAGTGGCTTGGAGGTTCGGGTACAATCGTGCCGGTTTGTGTGCTGAAAAGCACTAAGCAAAGACCCGTTCTTTTTGTCCTTGAAAGCCTTTTTCTTATTTCTGGCTGTAATGCTTTTGTAAGTTGGTGAGATGGCCCTGATAAGTGATTAGTACACATCATAATGACTGTAGTGAATTAACAGTTGAAGTGTGAGAAGGCATTTTGGACGGTACATGTATGTGGGTCGCGCTTCACAATAATAATGACCGGACATTGTTCCTATTACTTGTATGTGTAATACTTTGTAGGAAAATTAGTAATGGACAATGTTTTCCAAATCAA